ACACACACACACACACACACACACACACACACACACACACGCGCGCGCGCAAAAAGGAAAAATGCCAGCAAATGTACTATATAGTATTATGTCAACTTGACACAATCTAGAGTCATCTGAAAGAAGGGAGCCTCAACTGGGAAAATGCCTCCATTAGATGAAACTGCAAGCAAGCCTGTTGAGCACTTTCTTAATTAGTGATTGACGGGAGGGCCCAGCCCATGGTGGGTGGGGCCATCTCTGGACTGGTGGTCCTGGGTTCTGTAAGAAAGCAGGCTGAGCCAGCCAGTAGCAGCACCCCTCCATGGCCTCTGCATCAGTTCCTGCCTTCATGTCCCTGCCTTGTCTAAGTTCCTGTCCTGACTTCCTGTGGTGATGAACAGTGATTTGGAAGTATAAGCCAAATAAACCCTTTCCCCCCAGGTTACTTTGGTCATGGTGTTTCTTCAAAACAATAGAAACCCTAAGACAGCAACTATCTCAAACTGTTTATAAATACTGGAACAGTATACTGGAAGAATAGGGAGTTACATAAATGAATTGGGGTGCTGACGATCAGGAGGGACAGCTTCTGGAGAGCTCTGGTTGTCACACTTACAGTGGCACTGAAAAAAGATCACTTAGTGGAGGCAGGGCTCAGAGTCAAGTATTAGAAGTCTATCATTAAGTAAGGGAGAAATGAAAAGGGTCTATTTGTTCTTTCTCCTAGAGACTGTAAGCTTCAAGACAGCAGGACGACCGTCTGTCTTGTCTCTGGCTGTATTCTCCAGCACTCAGAAAGCTGCCACACAGCATTTGTGTAAAGTGAAGGAGTGGTGACAGAGGTATTTTTGAAGGGCTAAGTTTAAGGGTCAACAGGCTTAAGTGGAGTATTAATAAATTTCAGGTACTGGTGAAAACCATCAGGGAAACCTGGAGTTCTGTCTTTGAGGCTTTCCTATACATGATACTTGGGGACCAGGGAATCTCAACGAAGAACGGGTGCACACAGGTTGTTTTTGTTTTAAAGACTTGAGGGTGTTCTGTTCCTGACACTTCATGTAGCTTCCTCAGTCTAGGAAAGGAACAGTGTGTACCTTTTAGGACTGAAATATGAATTCACTGAAAATGTAGGGCTGAGCCCTTTCTGTCCTCCTTTGGTTACAAGAATTCCCTTAGCGCACAGCTAATAGGACTGCTAGGGCCTGGGATCCCGTGAGGATTATTTTCAGGGTGGGGTGGGAACATGCGACCCGAACCTGGACGGAGAACGCTCCAAGCTTCTGAACCCTCCCTCCTGGAGCCCGCCCTGTTCTCACACATCCCAGCCCTGGGGCGGTCACCTCAGCTCCGCCCTCTCTTCTTCCTGCTCCCCCACCCCACTTCCTTTCCCTGCGTCCTCCCCCTCTGCGCTCCCACCCAGGCCCTACGCCCCCCCACGGCCGCTCCCTCTAGGCCGTCCGTGACTTCCCCTCCTTCTGGCTATCACCGCCCTTCTCGGGAGGACGGGGCAACCCCGTGCCTCCCTCACCCAATCAGGAGCCGACTCAGGGTGGGGCGGGACCAGGGCTAGAGCGGAAGTGGTGGCCGGAGCGGAAGTGCAGCTGCCGCCACCACCGCTGCTGTCGCCGCCGCCGCCGCCGCCGATTCCGGAGCCCGGTAGCTGCTGCCGCCGCCACTGCAGCTACGGTCGCCGCCGCCGCCGCTGCCGCCACCGCCGCCTCAGGAGTGGGCCTGGGAGAGACGTAGTCGCCGCCCTCCGAGCTTCCCGGAAGCGCCTTTGCTCCCTACCGTCCTCCACGGTGAGTGCAGCGCGGCTCCCAGGGGCCCCAGCGCGAAGCCCCTTCTCGGGCGGCGGCCGCGGCCCGGCCCGCCACCGCCCCTCCCCGCTTCCGGCCGGGCCTGGGCCTCCGCGGGAAGCACCGGGCTTCTCCCTCGGCGGGCCCTACGGGGTGCGGCTGGGTACGGCTGGGCCGCGTACTCCCCTCGGCACCTCCTCTGCTCGGCGCCGCCCCTGCCTACTCCCCTCGGGCCCGGAGCCATCCCTCTGGGCCTGTCAGCCTCGCTCCTTTGTGGCTTTCAAAAATTGAAATGTAGGGGAAGGCGAGCGGGTTCCCCGAACCGCGACGCCCCTGCTGCACTCCCCTGGATGAGTAAGGGTTTAACCTTGGCGACAGCTGGGGCGAATCCCTCTCCCACTTTGCAGTAAAGCTGTTTCATCATCGCTGGTGTGGGAAACCCTGCTGGACCCGAGATTCTCTGACAGCAGGGTTGAGGTTTGAATCAAGAAATGGATTTGTCGGAATCGTTTTACTGACTCGAACCGGATTCCCAGTGGGGTGGGGGAAGATCAGGCTGAGAATTGAGGCTTCTCAAGATATTTGTCGTCATTTACTGCCAGTCTCGTGTGTCTGCGCCCCAAATTCCTCCATACACTTTTTTTTTTTTTTAAACACTGTTTGAAGTCTGTTGGTGGGGATCGAGTGGGCGGAATGTAGACCCTTTTTCTTTCCAAGATGAGCGCATCTGGGTCTATTGCAAATGGAGAACTTGCGTGCAGGGAGGATTCCAAAGGTGGCAGCGTTGATGAGAATTTGCTAACCTCTCTGTAATAAGTCTTGTCCTTGCCTTCAGTACATTCTCTCTGGTGAGATAGCATTTGACTCTTGATTTCACTTGTCAGATGTGGGAGGTGGAATCTGCAGGATGTTATGAGTCTGTAATATCAACGAGAGCCAATGCAGAAAGGTGCAACACTTAGGAGAATATGAAAATTACATTTCTCACTGTGTCTCAGGTGTTTCTGTGAAACCATGCATACATACAGTTTATAGGACTGAACGTGTGGTTACTGAGTGCTTTACATTTAGCTACTGGGAATTTATACAAATATTTGGTTCTTGGTGGGTTTCTTCTTGACTGCCTCCATCCAGCGAACCTCATTTTTTAGGGTTGCCCGAGGCGCGCTTGCGTGTGTGTGTGTGTGTGTGTGTGTGTGTGTGTGTGTGTGTGTGTGTTAGCTCAATGTCCTTAGCAGCATACAGCTGGAGAATATTGGGTTTTTTTTTCCTTTCCTACCCAAGTCAGAATTTTAAGCATGACCTTAGAAATGGAAGACTGAAAATCCAGTACCAGTTGCTAAATTATTTTCCTAGCCTCTGCCTTCAAACAAGATAAGAAACCATTCACCCATCTTACAGATGAAATCTTTATGAGAAATGAGTGATTTGGCCTAAACCACACACCTACTTTCAGATGAATAGCCTCTTTCATCTGTGGTTTTATTTATGGACTGTCAGCCCCTGGAGTATGGCTCTTACCCTGTTATCTTCTGTACATTTCCCATCATGCAGTGCTTGTCTTATGTTGAAGCCATTTTAGACTTGGAGCTGTATGGCTCAGGGAGGCAGCCTGTGTGAAACCAGGCCGAGCACATTCCCTTGATGCTTGTTCCCTAGGCAGAGTCTCCAGAGATTTGGGCTGCTGCAAAAAGTGCATTTTTCCCACTTGGCCGTGGATCCAAAAACAGCACTGAAGTTGACGTTAGGTAAATTTGATTTGGTTCTTTCCTTGTACTGTTTTCTAACGGTGATCCTCAGAAGTTAATTCATCTCTGGCGCTTAGCTTCCCTATCTCCACTGCTGTCTCAGACTTTTGTAAACTGTAAGTTAAGTCTAAGCCTTTGGTTTTGTTGTATCTTAGTGGTTGAGTTCACGGTCTCTTTCACCCTTTCTGATAAGACACAGTCTTGTTTTGTCCACTGCTATTAAAACGATACATTCTATAACTTTACATATGATAACGGTGCCCCTCTTCCCCACGCTCACTGCTTTGGTCTTCCTCGGCCTCTTAGGTGCCAGGATTACAGGTGTGCACCTCTGTGCCACGCTGCTAATACAGCTTTTGATGTGTGGTGGCAGGCTGAATTAAAATAAGCTTCTGGGTTGTAGATTTTCTTAGTACAAATAAAATTAATTTAAAAACATTTGAATATGAATGGACATATACCATGATGTTTAAATATGTGTATATTGTGTAATGTTTAAATAGCCTATCTTCTCAGACATGATTTCTTTTTATTTATTTGTTTGTTTGGTTGGTTGGTTGGTTGATTTTTTTCAAGTCAGGGTTTCTCTGTGTAACAGCCCTGGCTGTCCTGGAACTCAAATCTGTAGATCAGATTAGCCTGGAACTCACAGAGATCCACCTCCCAAATGCTGGGATTAAAGTCATTTGCCACCTCCACCCGGCCAGACATGATTTCTTTGTAGTAAAAAATAAAGTCTTTTCTTGTAGCCCATTGAGAAATCCAGCACACAGGGTACATGTTATGTGTAGTCAGGGTATAGTGCATAGCATAACTGAACTTGTAAATTTATAACCCGTGTTTTTGACTGTACATGTCCACATTTGCCTATAGCATAGACACATACAGAATCTACCCATTGTGACTTAATCATTAGCTACTGAGGTATCCGCAGGTAAATAGTCTACAATCACACTAGTCACCACTTGTAGCACTTTGTATGTGCCAGGCTTCCTTGTAAACACTTTAAGCACTAATTATTTAGTCTTCAGCCAATGAAAGGTAAGTACTGTTGGCCTCATTGTATAGATGAGGAAACTGAGGTGCAGAAATTAAATTTTTCCAAGGATACACATATACGTAGCACAGAATTAACTGCTGAAATCATGAGTCACACCCATGTCTTTGACTCTGGGTAATGATAGATTTGACTTGTAGAACAACATATGTATTCTATGACCACCTTACTTTTTTGTACGTGCGTCCTATTATGTGTTTAATCCAGCATTTCATCTGTTCTTAAAGGCGTATACGATGCTGTTCTTTCATAGGGTGATATTGCTGGTATATATCAGCTGAAAGCTGCTGAAAAGTCCAGTTTTTCAATACTCCTTTATACCAGGGAGGACATTCATCAGGTACTCTGCAGAAAGCCACCCTAGGTTCTGTTTTTTTAGATTGTAACTGTAACCATCTTTTATTGTTACTTCTCATACACTTTGTGGTATTTTAGGTTTGTATTTTGTCTGGGAGAAGGAAAAGGGAAGATCTCCCTCTGTAAATAGAGAGAAGCTAAGTTACTGTGTCCTGTAGGGATTGTGCTCCCTACTCTATGGATGGTATCAGGCAAAAGCAGTTGTGTCAGTGAGGAACCCTAGAAACTAGAACTTCATGGTAATCTCAGCACTTGGGAGACTGATCCGTGTGAGTTGGAGGACAGTCTGGTTTGGGTCTACATAGTGAGTTTCAAGATAGCCAGAGCTACATAGCAAGACTATGCCTAAAAAAAAAAAAA